TTAGGTTGCTTCCAGTTCTTTACCACCGAATAGCAAGCAAAAAGAATTAAACAGCAAGGATTTTTCTATAGTCACGGTTAGCCACGGCAGTTTGAGAAGCATTCAAACGAGAAAAGTTGCCTTTGTTTTCCATCTCTTTGTTCTTAGTTAAATTCTTGTTGATGGTGGGGACGAAGCCGATTCACCTCCAAATTTCCTCTATTAGTTTTCGTGTGATGAAAATGTTACCTTACAAGTAGTTCGACCTGATTTATAACTGTTAAATCTCCGCGGCACAAACACAAACATGCACACACAACACTTCAAACATAATACTTCTGTGAGCTGGATTAGGCTGTGTAGTCGAGAAAGTTGAACGCACCCAACAAAGAACCAATGAGCGCATAGGTATCTGTGTCAGTGGGGGAAAGTGTGTCGTAAACTTTCACCCCATTGTCAGGGCTAGGAGAGTATGAGCCCTCGGTACAGTGTTATTTTTTCCAAGTATTCTACCTTTTTACAAGAAAAGTTTCATTAAGGACGGGCTGTGGGAAAAGGGCTCATCTTTGCCAAGCCCTAAAGACATTTGATTGGCTGCTGGGTTACTATAGTTGTAAGCGGTGACAACAATGATTGGATAAGGGAGCAAGGCGCCAAGTTGATCACTCTGTGTTCATTGCGTGCGGTCATAACAGTTTCAACTGCTTATTTCATTATGGAGAAACTTTCATTTTCTTTGGGATAGAGTTGGGGGTGGTGGGAGGGTAGGGGCTCAAGCCCGTGAGCCCTTCACTACCCACCGCCACTGGGTGGAAGTAATGATGATGCTATGGAAAGACCCTGAGTTTGCGGTTACCGTGTACATAGACACTGCCATTGGGTAGATCTAATGAGAGTGCAGTCTTTTGACTCTTGGCACAATTTCACAAACCTAGTATAGAGGCAATTTTAGTTGTAATTCTGATTTTACGTAAAATCCCCCCACGACAATTTTATAATGTACACTCCGTACATTCACATAACTCACTTACAAGCTGAGTCTGAATAAATAAAACCTTTTTTTTCGGACACAAGTCCGAATAGATAAAGCCCATATTCGGGCTCGAGTCCGAATAGATAAAAATTATGTTCGGACTCGAGTCTGAATAGAGCTGACCTTAAATTGCAGTTTCATTAGTTTTGTAATCGTAGGCTAGTTAGATCTAGATCTAGCATAGGCTTACTGTGTAACATTTTAGATTTTCTTTTAATTGGATTTTTTATGACATGACGAAAATCACGAAATGGATTCTAACAGGGCAAGGTAAAGAGGGGTTTCAGTGGGGCTTGACCTCACAAAAACTTGGGGGGGGGGGGGGTTTAAAGAATGTGATGAGGGTTAAGAATGTGGGTCCCGTTTGGGGATACTAGTTTTGACCCCACCAACGATTACTTCTGGTTCCAAACGATTACTTTTTGACGGGCATATATGGAGAGATAGCCTATCAAACCTACTGTAAAACATCAAATTGGTCAAATTCAGGGGAGCATGGGCCCCCCCCCCCCCCCCCTCATGTTTTTGTTAGGTCAAGCCCGTCTGAAAACCCTCTTTACCTTGCCCTGTTAGAAACAAGTGAAATTTTACTTCTCATTTTGTTGTAGGCTACTGTGATAAAACATCGATGCTGAATATTTTAATCCGTGTCATTACCCAGTACTCTGTGTGGATGATGCCAAGTCTAAACAGACGGGACCCACATTCTTAAGTAGTACCAAGGGGTTGTTTTTTTTCATTGTCTGCCGCATGAATCTCCATCTAAAAAAATATATAATATACAGTAGGTATTTTTTATCTCGTTGGACTTTGGTGGCCTCCTAGTGGTTAGGAGACTCTCGTACTCACAACTGTAAGGTTGTGGGTTTGAATCCCTTGGGAAAGGCATACTGCACAAATTTTCCTCACTTCACCCAGGTGGAAATGGTTAGGCAATCCGGCTATAGACAGTGAAAGGTCTTGTGAAATTCCCAGCTTGCACTGTATTACTGTATATACATATATATAAGACGGTCACCTGTACAAACGGCCACTTTCCATTTCCCCCCTTGCGTTTTTTCTATATAATTTAACTGTGTAAAACGGGCACCTGTCCAACGCGGCCGCGGCCACTAAAATTTAACACACAACCCCTATAATACTAAGAAATAATACCTGTCTAAGACGGTCACCTTAGTGAATCCATTACGTTTTGTCATAAATTGCCCCTGGCATTGTGGGCGAGCCGTCATAATTCAATCACCTGTCGTTGTTGTTAGGTAGTCCCTCCAACCGATCATGTTGCGTAGGCCCCTCCCACTGTTGACCAATAGCTACCAATTTTCAGCTGCAGGTGAGTTAGCGTGTGATCCCTCATAACCCATAAGCCCCGCCCAGAACTCATACACAAATCGTAAGTGATATGAGTGGTTACTGTTTACCCAGTCTGTAACAAAGTAACAAAGGACGTCAACATGAACTTGTTACAGAAACGTCCCTCGTTCTCCGAGTGGTGGCGACCCATGTGTTTGTTTTAACATGGCACTCGGTCTTCCTTGTCTGATACATTTCGTTTTATTGTCACCATTGTGCAAAATCAGCGACAAAATAAAAATTACAAACGAAATACAAACCAACAGCAACAAAGACAACAACAATGGGGCTACTTTCGATTGGGGCCTCAGATGGGAATGGTTTGTTTTCTTTATCTTGATCAGTCCTGCCTAAGACGGCCACCTGTCTTATGCGGCCACTTTTCTCCTTGACAATGGGTGGCCGTCTTACACAGGTTTGACTGTGTATATATATATATATATATATACAGTAGTCTCCGCCTAAGATCCCACCGCTTACGATCCCGGTTCGCTTAAGATCCCGTTGTTTTAGGAAAACAGAATTTTTACTGTGCAAAAGTCACCCCTAAGATCCCGCTCTGATGGTCTACATTCGGCTTAGATCCCGCATTTCAGATCATAATTTGCTAAACAAAAACCCGGGCGGGCACAGCCGATCAACCAAGAGTGAAAAGTTGAGATCAATAAACTGTCCGTCGCGTCAAAGATCAGCCACTATCATGAATGTGATCACATACACGTTGTAAAACTCGATGAAGCGATAGAATGTTTGCCCCAGATGGGATCACACCGGGATGTGAACTGACCGACACGTTTGTTTTCCCCACGCATCGCACTCACACCTGTGCTCGCCACCTAAACTTTCATCACTCGCTGGGTGGGTAGGGCCTACACATTCGCTCCAGGCGGGATCACATCGAACCGTGAACTCTTCCTTGACCATTGCAGCAGTTGTCTCTGCTCCCGAATTTGCGAGACAGACTGAATTTTAATTGGTGCGTTCACAACGTAATAGTGTGTAACGACAAAGACGGTTTGGAGTGGGGGGGGGGGGGGGGGCTCGGTCAGAGATGAAAAGCTGTACATTTTTGACAGGTAAAGAGGAGGGGCAACTGGATAATCGTAGATCCTGAGACTCATGATAGGATAATAAGTGAAAATGGCACGCCTCATGCCACTATGCACCGTGATATGTCATCAAGGTTAACCACTCTTTGCTCGCCATACGTCATAAACCCACCAAGGGGGCACGTCAGTTCATTGTAGAGTGGAGGGAGAACATTTTATCGATTGTGAGCCTTAACATGGGTCACCATAGATTATTTCCTGGGTTCGTCGGTTAAGATCCCGGTTCGCCTAAGATCCCGCATTTCCTTGCTCCCAAACACCGGGATCTTAGGCGGAGACCACTGTATATGTATATATATATATATATATATATATATATGCTTTTCGGGAAGCTGAGAATGTTTTAGAGTGTTCTCAGAGGGTCTGCTGGGGTATAAATTATAAAAGTTGTAAAGCGCATTGAGAGAGCATGCTGTACTGTAGAGCATGGATGCCCTCTATGCAATTATTATTAAGAAAACATAGAAGTGGATTAAACAGGACACACCTTGCTTAAGAAAACTGAAAACATACACTTAACCCACCATTGCACGAAGCCATTAAGATGGAATCCACAAAGAAAGAGAAAGAAAGGAAGGCGTAATACTTGGATGAGGAACTTAGTGAGATTTTGATCCAAAAAACATGATGGAATACAGCTGGACAGAAGTGGACGCTATAGCCCAGGAGGACTGTCTAAGTAAATGGAGAGCTCAAGTATTGGTAGCCTCTCTGTCACCGGGTGAAAAAGGCTAATGATTATGGTGAACTCTGCATCGTAATAATAATTTAATAATATAATGGGAATTTATAGTTTGGACTTGACCAACTGTCTTCTTGTATAGATGAAGAAAGTAAATGTGGAATTTGTTGACTTCAGTAAATTTTAAAAAATGGTGATGCTGATGAAGAGGAAGAATGTTAGATTTTGGCAGATGATATTTAATAAGTCTGGATTTTGGGAGGAGTTCCGGCACTTACCGTGACAAGGTCCACTGACTCAACTATACAGAGTTCGAGTTAGGGTTTTTGTTGTTTCTTTAATTCATCTTCCTGTTGTTTTTTAAAATTCATTTTCCAAACATGTTTCGTTCTTTCTTTTTACCCTTTCAAAATAGTGAACCCAACTTTTTTGTATCTCGCTCAAAATATCCCCCTCTTTGTGTGTTGTTCGTCGGCTGGCCTTATGTGGAACTCCTTCCAGGATTTCTGTATCTGCTGCATGATAATGAATTTAGTTTTTAAATTTCTAAAACGCGGCTGTTTTTGTGGTGTCAAAGGATGTTCTGGTTAGATGTTTTACTCTCGACAACTTAAAGTAGTCTGGACGTGCAATCTCATTATTTTCATTTGTCTATCCAACTGCAAACTGCCGATCAGTAAATAAAACTGAACAGCTTTGCCTGAAATTGAAAGTTGGATTCTTGGCTTGGCTGTGGTTTTTTGTCGATTTTTGTTAAATCTATTTGAACACAATATAAAGACTCTGTGTATTTTGTAATTTTTATTGATTCATGTTTTGTTTCTCTTCCTTCTCTGTGTTTCAGCATCCAGGTGGAGAAGAAGTTTTATTAGAACAGGCTGGTAAGTTCAGTTTTTGACAGAAATGTGTGTGTGTGTGGGGGGGGGGGGGGGGGTGTATAGTAATCACTTGTCAGTCTTTTTCTTTATTTTTTCGCTTGCAAAAGATTAGACAAGATCACATTTGTGAAGCTTGTTCTTGTTTCTTTTTTTGTCTTGAAAAAAAAAAAAGAATCGGTTTTCCCTGTTTAAAAAAACAAGATTGTCAGCTTATTAAATCTTATTATTAACGAGCAGAATATGATAGATTAATCCTGAAAGATTACTTTCTCTTCCATAACATTTTAAAAATATTTTTATCATCATGGTCAAAATTAATATTATTATTGTTAACTTTTACCTTGAAATAAATATTTAAATTTAGCATCTGGCTGTTTAGTTAGTATGTTTTGTGTTACTTCTTTAATTTTTCTCTGCTACATGTGGCTAATTTAATTGACTTTTTGGTGTTATTTTTGGGGGTGTTCTTTTTTGTGTTTTTGTTCAGTGTTTCTATTGTCTTTGTCTGTTCATGCAGTTATTACTCTGTCTTGCTGGTAACATAAACTTTGAATGCTGAATAACGTCATGCGTGGGATTCTCTTTTGTTGTCAGTTTAATTAACATGTTTTGGTCCTATACCGGCACATCATCTGGTAGAGGAAGGCTGCTGTGATGTTGAGGCGCTGGTTTCTTCTTTATATACCCAAACCATGTGTCTGTCTGTTATACTTTTTTCTCAGCTCAAATCCAAGTTACAATTATTTTGCTTTAATGCTTCTTTTTAACTTTACAAAATTAGTCTCTTTTGTACTCTTTTCAAGGAGAGACCGTGGGCATTGACTTTCTGTGACATTTTATGGTCCAAAGTGGTGTCCTAGTCACACTCACACTGAGTGACACTATCTATTGTACTGTTTTATTGTTTCTGTCAGTAACGAGTAGTTATTTATTTATACAAGTGTAATGGCATGACCATGACCGTTGGTAGTTTGAACTCAGCTGGACTTTTGTATAGCAGCTGTAAAGAACTATTAACAATAGTTGCGTTTGAGCATATCCTCACTGGTAACTGTACAGCATGCTCTATCAATGTGCTTTACAACTAGCATTAGTGGAAGACTTCTGTCACAATAGACCGTCGTGTTTGCGCTGCGCGGGTTGACACTTGCACAGAATTACACAAAGGTACTAAGACCATGAGGTCAGGACCAAATGTTCCATCTGCTTTATCAAAATTGTCAGATTGTTCTGAGATGTTACTCAGATATTCAAAGAATTGCATTTGGAAAATCTTGACATGTTGTGAAACTCCAAATTTTTTGCGGCGAATTTCTCAAAAATCAGAACTGAGCAGATAGACATCCCTTAAATAACCTATTTTTAGTGTTGATTGGAGTGTTAAACCTATACCATTTCACATGATCAAAGAAATGGTATTTTAATTCAATTGTTTCCTGGCTATCGGAGCGTCCGGCGCAGACTTTCACTGAGATGTGTGTTTCTTCCATGTCCACTGAGTTCGTCCCAGTGTTTGGGAGATGGCTCTCATCAGGGGGGGGGGGGGGGCTGGTGCTGCTGTGTCCAGTAGTTGTTTTTGTATATGTGAGTTGTCAGCACTGAGTGGTCTCTACTTCCGTTCTTTGGGAACAAGCGCATCTTCATTTTTAACTCTATGAACTTGTTTGTTTGACCTGCATCTGTGATGTAGTGGTTATGGAGTATCTCTTGTCTTTCTGCTAGGATGTTGTATCCATCTCAGCTTGGGTTAGCCCTGACAGTGACAGGCAGGGTAGGAAGCTGGCCTCTTAGATTATCTAAATTGTGTTGAATGAAATGTAAAAACATCTATTTAAAAAAAAACAAAAAGTTGTAATGTTTTTTATCATTTGTTTTCCTGCAGGTGGGGATTCTACAGAAGCTTTCGAGGATGTTGGCCACTCGACAGACGCACGTGATCTCATGAAGGATTACTATGTAGGGGAAGTACATCCAGTAAGTGGCTCTTTTCTCATCATCATGATAATTGCATTCATATACTTAACGCTGCATAATCACGCTGTACAACTTGCTCCAAGTTTTTTACAACTATTATTACCCAGCAGACTCCAGAACACTCAGAAATATTCTTGGCTTCTCGGGAAGCATACAGTGCAAGCAGATTATTGCTCCCAAACACTGACAAACTCTTGTTGAGTTGAGTTGTAGGGCTGAGTTTTATTTTATTTTTTTTATCCCCGTGGGTTTTGAAATGAATGGTTGTATTTACATGTTTTTGATTTGAAAGAAAAGACGAAAGAAAGAAGGCATTGCTGCTGCACAAGTTTGTGTTTTCTTTTACAAGTGGGGGCAAAGGTGGTTGTTCTTGTTGTTATATGTTTAATTAACGTTACAGCTGAAATGTTGTTCTACACTTATATTTCTTCACAAGTACGTACTTAATTTCGACATTAGTTGTGCAACTGCCAAGGTTCTTTTTGTTATCTGTTAGTGGAGTATTTACTAAATTTAGTATTTTGGTTGACTCCGTACAAGCAAACATCAGACAAGCCCCACATATCATCATTCCTATAAAGTCAAGGATAACATGGAACACTGACTTTGGGGGGGGGGGGTTTATTGTTAAAATGTTCTAGTCCTCTTTTTTGTTCCCAGACTTGTGACTTCGGCTGTGTTCTGTTTCTATTTAAATCTCAACTTTGTGAACTCTTGCATTTGCGAGCGCCGTAAAACCCTATACTATACTATACTAACTCTTGCATTAACAGCTGTTTGGCTTCAAGTATCGGGTTTCTGTGGTGGGGGGGTCACACACTGTTTCAGTTAAGGCTTGGGGGCTGTTTCAGTTAAGGCTTGGTGTGGATGAGACTAAGTGGGAAGTAGTAAACCTGTCTAAACAAGATGAACTGTATATGTGTGTAATCTCAGCTTGTTGTGTTACCGTCTCTAGTTGGAGAAATCACTGTGCTGCATTTTTATAACTTTCTGTAAACAAAGATGTTATGCCAAAACCTTCCTTTTTGGAACAACTTTCTGTGGGATATTTACGTCTGTGTGATTGGTTCCTGCAAGGTTTACAGCCCAGAGCTTCTGGTACATGTAATATTTCTTTTTTCCTTTTGTTTGTTTTGTCTCAGAGTGCTACTATAACACTAAAGCTATGATTCCTTTTTTTTCTTCAAGCTCATTTCCTTGTTAGGCCCTCGCATCCTACTTTTTGCATCTTTGGAAAATGATGTAAAGTTTCCCAAAGTAAACATTTACCCCCTCCTAATTATCCACATTTTTTATTTATAACTTAGGATCCATCTACATTTTCTTTGGCTGTGGGTGGTTAGCAGGTGCTCTGATGTGGTTTGCTCCTTATTTCCAATCAAACATCTATCTTCCTTATCTCTCCTCCTGCTTTATGTTTGTTGCTCTCTTGTAACTCCTCTAATCTTTGGCACTGATATGACTTTATTGTGTTGCAAGTGCCGTAAAACTCTTACAAAAACTAAACTTTCTTTGGTTATATGGTAATAAATGTCAGGAATATGTCACAAAGCGTGGAGTGATATGTCATGGAGTAAGGTGAACTGAGTCTGACATTAATATCCATATAAGTGGAGAAGGTTCCTGAAGTAATAGTACTAATAGATAGTCACCAGTACATTGCCCCTTTTGTTTTGTTTTTTATTCTTTAAAAAAATTTGTTATATCAAACTCTGTCCAAGATGTCCACCTGTTTAAGACAACCACTTCTCTCCTCAACAATAGGTGTCTGGTGTCTTGGATGATAATGCAATAGATGCTGTTTGGTTTCAATAACATTTGCTTGGGTGTGGCAACACAAAATAGGAAATAAAAACCCCTCCCCCATTGAGCATGCATGCATTATGACTTTGTTTTGTTGTGTGTGTGGGATTCACACTTTTATTTTTTGTTCTGTTTCAGGATGACAGATCTACCAAATCGTATGCTGTAAGTATCACCCCTTGTGACTCTGACTTTGCATGAATGTTGTGTAAAAATCAATATAGAGTGCTGTCTGGATATTGGCCAAAGGCTGATGTGTCACTGGGATAAGTGGGGGATAGAATTCCCCCCCCCCCTTCTCTCTCTCTCTCTCTCTCTCTCTCTCTCTCTCTCTCTCTCTCTCTCTCTCTCTCTCTCTCTCTCTCTCTCTCTCTCTCTCTCTCTCTCTCTCTCTCTCTCTCTCTCTCTCTCTCTCTCTCTCTGTGGGTGGTTGGCGGGTGCTCTGGTATGGTTTGCTTCTTCCATCCTATCAAATCAAACATCTCTCATCCTTATCTCTCCTCCTCCTTTTTTGTGTATGTTACTCTCTTGTAACACATCTATTCTTCAGCACTTCGATGACCTTATTGTGTGTCAAGTGCCGTAAAACACTTACTAAAACTAACTCTCTCTATCTCCCTCCCTCCCTCTCACAGTACTCTCCCACCTTGCCCATTTCCTTCTCCCCTCACTCCCTCCCCCTCTCCCTCTCACAGCTTTCCCCAACCTTGCCTCTTCCTTCTCCCCTTGCTCCCCCCCCCCCTCTCCCTCCCACAGTCCTCGTCCACCTGCCTTGCTGTACACCTCATTAGCATACACATGGGGAGAGCAGTACGTCAATGGTTGTGTGTGCTCATGTGCGACAAGTGCAAGCAGAAAAGCATTGCACATGAATAGAAAGTTTTTGCTGGCTTCGAACAGACAATTTAACGGTTTGAGTTGGAGGGGCTTTAAATGGAGGAAGAAAATCACCGGTGAGCAACAGGTGTTTTCAGATTCGTCAATGAAGAATTTGATAGTCATATATATAAGATGGCGTAAGCTGCACAAAAACCAGCCCCACTTGATGCAGGTGTGTTGACTGTGGCACAGTCTGGGGTTGAACGGTTGTGTGTCCCTGACTGGGTTTTATAAAAGTTGGCAAATCTCGGGCAGTGAACAAGAGTCCCTGAATGAATGTTTGTGATCGTGTGGTCAGATTGGCAGTGATAGGGGGAGGGGGGGTGTGTATCAGGATGAAAAGGGCCATCTTTTGACAACCATCTTTTAAAGTGTTTGGATTATCCGATTATACTGCACTCTTTGTTTAAATTATGTTTTTAAAACATGATGAAGTAACTGGATCCACATACATCAAGAGGTGAAAGTCTGCTCAATTTTTATTATAATAAATCCCTAATGTTTTGGGGGTCAGTGTGTCAATGCATAAATGTTGAAAAATTTGCTTATACTTGCTTTGAATTTTTGTACCTCACAGTTTTTATCCCTTTAAAAAAAAAATTATTTGGGTGGTTGGAGGGCTCCCCGGGTAACTCTTAATTCTTTTGTTTATGTGGGTAATTGGAAGGTCCTCTGCTTCCTTCCTTTCTCTGTCTTGTTTCTGTCTGCTTATCTAGCTTTTTTTCACTCCTCTGTGGGTGTGGTTGGCTTTGCTTTTCTCGACTCAGACCCAGAAAACTTTTTATTGTGTTTTGTTTTGTTTCCCCCTGCTCTACTTGATAGTGCGGGTTGTTGGCAGGGGCTCTGGTGTAGTTTGGTCCTTCTCCCCTATCAAAAAATCCATTGTCTTTATCTTTCATCCTCTTTTTTATGTGTGAAAGTAAAAAGTAAAAGTAAGTACTCTTTAGTAACACCTCTAATTTTCGGCATTAATATGATCGTATGATCAGTTTGTATTGCGAGTGCTATAAAACTGTTACCAAAACTGAAAACTAAAAGTACCTGACAGTTATTGTGTCAATGCACCTCTGTTTAACTCAACCCCATAAATCTCCCCATGCAAACAGCCCAGTGATGCGGCACAGCGGAGTAGCAATTGTAGCCTGATGTGGTGAGTTCACACCATAGACTTGTTGTATGATATCCGAAACAGGGCACTCATGACACAATTCCTGTTTAGTTTCTGTTCGGTAAAAGTTGTACGGCGCTCGCAACTGAATTCCAGTTCACTATGGGGCACACCATTTGACTCAATTTGGAGCCAAATGGAGGGCAAGGAGGTTAAATTGCATGCGCCCTTGGTTGTAGTGAAGACTTGTATTTTCCCTGCGCTGTGCGCACCATGAATGCGTAACCTTCTTTTGTGCGTCCATGGTGGCACCGGGGCAGGGAAAGTTTTATTGAGGGCAAAGAGCAGCAGCGGTGACAGTGCCTGGTCTAGGATATAATAGTTCAAGTCTGTGGTTCACGCTGTTGCACATCGGAACGTCTGTGTGGCTGGCACATTGTGTTTGCCGACACTGAACACATTGTGTTTGGTTGACACTGAAGCTGTCTACAGTGTATTGTAGCGACCTCGTGCCACAAGAGATCGGGTGTGTGCCTCTTCTGCCTAACTAACTCTTTCTGTTCCTGCTTCATGCAGGCATCCTGACTTTGGTTTCTGTTTCAGATTTTCCATAAACATGGCCCCAGGTTAGGTAGGGTTTGTGGGTGGTCGGCGGGTGCTCTGGTGTGGTTTGCTCCTTCTTTCCAATCAACCATGTATCATCCTTATGTCTCCTCCTTTTTTATGTACATTACTCTCTTGTAACACATCTATTCTTCATCACTTGTATAACCTTATTGTGTTGCAAGTGGTATAAAACTCTTGCTAAAACTGAAACTAGGTGGGGTTTGGTTCATAGAGCAAAAAATATGCTCTGGCATTTGAAAGTGGAAGAAGGGACAGCCTGCTAATGCCAGTTTTCTAATCAGAGTTTAGAACGTTTGTATCTAACCAAAAGTAAGGACATTCTGGTGTGTAGTGAGTGCATTCATACAGTCTGTAGTGGCTTGTAAGGTGAGGGTTTAAGTTTAAGGTATTCTGGAGCAGTAAAAAGCTGAGACAGTTGAAGAGCTAAGTTGATGTCAATGACTTTAGGGGGAGGCAGGATCCTGTGGGAAGTAGGTGAATATTTTATTTCTGAGCCACGTTGTGTTTTATAAAACCCTGTCTTTGTGGCTTTC